AAAAAAAAAAAAAAAAAAAAGAAAGGAGAAATGCTTTGGTTTGGGGACTTCTCGGTTTCTATGGTCTGTTAGTCACACACGTAGGAGAGTGATGACCTAACCCTTATTCTCCAGCTGGGTCTTTCCCATAAATCTGTAAATTCTAAGCTTTTTTGGGTTTTTTTACAGTAAACATTGCTTTGTTTATATAACCTGAATCTGTACTAAAACGTTTCATGTTTTAAAATTGTTTTTGATTAAACATGTTGGTTGAGTACACTGATACTGTTTATTGAAGGCTTCAGTATCAAAGATCAATTTTAGATGTCCCCCTAAAAATATCTCATTTTTATTTTGATTCTTAATTTTTAAAATATGCGTATGGTTTTAAAATAGAGTTTAAGGGCGCTTGGGTGGCCTAGTCGGTTAAGCGTCTGACTCTTGGTTTCAGCTCAGGTCATGATCTCAAGGTTCATGAGTTGGAGCCCCACGTTGGTCTCTGTGCTGACAGTGCGGAGCCTGGTTGGGATTTTCTCTCTCACTCTTTCTCCACCTCTCCTCCACTCACATTCATTCATTCATTCATTCATTCTCTCTCTCTCTCTCTCTCTCAAATCAATAAACTTAACTAGTTTAAAAAACTCAAATCACTAGACCCCACATATGTCTTTCAGAAAACAAGTTAATACATAGGTAAGTGAAAACATTAGAACACACACTCTTATTTCTCTAGAAGGAAAAGAAGTTTCTGCTCTAAATAGCGTTTCATAGCAACAATGAAAGAGCGATAGTAGTGATAAGGGGATATTTATTTTACAACTAAATGCATGCATTTCTGAAACATGAGTAGTAGAAGAAAGGGAGAAAATATGAGGAAAGTCACCAACCTTTTTGAGCATTTACTATTAAGAGGATGCTTTTCACATGAGATTTCCTTATTTAATTCATACACGCACACACCCTCTTTTGAGATAACTCTCCCATTTTTTAGTTGAGGTGATGAGGTAACACGGGTCAGACAGACCAAGTATTACTGTCTTTAAAACTCCATAAGTTGGGGCGCCCGGGTGGCTCAGTCGGTTAAGCATCCGACTTCGGCTCAGGTCATGATCTCACGGTCCGTGAGTTCGAGCCCCGCGTCAGGCTCTGTGCTGACAGCTCGGAGCCTGGAGCCTGTTTCCGATTCTGTGTCTCCCTCTCTCTCTGCCCCTCCCCCGTTCATGCTCTGTCTCTCTGTCTCAAAAATAAATAAACGTTGAAAAAAAAATTTTTTTTAAAGGCTCCATAGGTACTCCTTTCCCCTAGCATTGTGGGTCATAAAGCACTTTGTGGTTTAAGGAAAAATAATAAGTAATATAGGCCAAGGTTAGAGAGGGTATCTCTGCATATTTAACTTTCTCTATCCTAACTTGTTTTTTTTAGAATTAAAGATGCAAATGTCCATGCCTGATGTCTGCATATTTAGAATGATTCATTATATGTAAAAAGAAAAAGTGTAGAAATTGCAACTTTAAAGGAAAGCTTTTCTTCTTGTTCTTTGACCTGCTTATCTTTTCACATATATGGATTATGCAGATAGGGTTTTCTTCACACTTATCATATAAGCAGAAAGTGGTCTATTCAATAGGTGGCCCACTTTTTATGCCTCTGTTCCTGCATTTCAGTAACATTTCTGTAAAGATATTTCAAAATCCACTGAAATCTTTCCATGCCTTGCATAAACCTGGCATTTCAAATTTTTAATCTTTTTGTTGTTGTTGTTGTTAACCACAAGACAAATGTACAATTATATAATGTATCTTTATATCTAATTTTGAACTAATGATCTTTTAGTATATTACACCTTAGTTCATGCCTTGTTTTTTAATAGTCAGGACTGAAAGATAGTTTTGTTGCGTTGCCTATTTATTGTACAGTTGAGAAAACTGAGGTTCAGAAATAAAACAATGGATCCATGTCTGTCAAAGTTTGATCTATGGAACATTTGCATCTAAGACACCTATATTAATCTTTTGAAATGCAGATTTCCAAGTCCCAATAGATTAGAACCTCAAGAATGACAGTCAAGTAGGCCTTATTTTATTTTTCTCTTCCAAGCTTTTACTCAAATTCCAGTTAGTTAACATACAGTGTGATGTTAGTTTTGCATGGTTCCCCCTTTCTCCACATCCTTGCCAACACCTGTTGTTTCTTGTGTTGTTGACTTTAGCCATTCTGACAGGTGTGAGGTGGTAACTCATTGGAGTTTTGATTTCTATTTCCCTGATGATCAGTGATGTTGAACATCTTTTCATGTGTTTGTTGGCCATCCGGATGTCTTCTTTGAAAAAACATCTATTAGTGTCTTCTGCCCATTTTTTAACTGGATTATTTGGTTTTGGGATGTTGAGTTTGATAAGTTCTTTATAGATTTTGGATACTAACCCTTTATCGGGTCATTTGCAAAAATTGTCTCCCATTCCATAGGCTGCCTTTTAGTTTTGTTGATTATTTCCTCCACCGTGAAGAAGGTTTTTATCTCGATGTAGTACCAATAGTTCATTTTTGCTTTTGTTTCCTTTGTCTTAGGAGACATATCTAATAAGTTCAGTAGCCTTTATTTTAAGTAAAGCCCCCTACCACAAAGTTTGAGAATCAATGCGGTAGTGTATTTCTATTCACATCTATAAAAGCTTTATCAGCATGCAAATGAGCATCTCTGTGATATAGCTTGGTTTAAGAGGGTTAAAAACTACATCCCCATGGTTTTGATACAGTGTGGAAAAGTAATCAAATGCATCAGTGGAGAATAATAATTGAATTCCCTCCACCTTGCACATACATTCTTACTTACAAAAGTCCTGTTCTTTGTCATCTAATGTCTAAACTCAGAAACCCAAAGCATAGTATTTTTAAATGTGCTTAAGTGTCTAGCATTTTTTTAAGAAATTAATTTTTTCTGGGGCATCTGGGTGGCTCACTTGCTTAAATGTCCAACTGTTGAATTTGGCTCAGGTCATGATCTCCGGGTGCATGAGTTTAAGCCCCGTGTTGAGCTCTGCATTGACAGCCTGGAACCTCCTTGGGATCCTCTGTCTTCCTTTTTCCCTGCTCCTCCCCCACTTGCTCTCTTTCTCAAAAATAAATAAACTTAAAACCCTACTGATTAAAAAAAATGAATTTTTTCTACCACCATACATTTTCCAGGTAGGTGAGTTTTAACTATTTAACCATTCTAGGTGAAACATAGCCAGTATTATGAATATTAGTAGAACCTGAGGGGGAAGTGAATTAAGTTACAGCTTCCTACATTTAGGTCTTCATTCATACAACAAACTCATTATTATTTTCCTTCTGTGGACACAAGTCCTTAGGGGCCAAGATATCTTGTTTGGGCAATAAAGTTTTTCCGTTCAAACAACTTACAGCTCTTGGGCACCTGGGTAGCTCAGTTGGTTGAGTGTCTGACTCTATTTCAGCTCAGGTCATGATCCCAGGGTTGTGGGATTGAGCCTTGGGTAGTGGTCCACACTGAGCATGGAGTCTGCTTAAGGCGCTCTCTTGTGGGTCACCTGGTTGGCTCAGTAGGTTAAGCGATGGACTCTTGGTTTTGACTCCGGCTATGATCTCATAGTTTGTGAGACTGAGCCCCGTGTTGGACTCTGTGCTGTCAGTGCAGAGCCTGCTTGGGATTTTCCCTCTCTCTGTGCTCCTCCCCTGCTCTCTCACTCTCTCTCAAATAAACATTTAAAAAAATTCTCCTCTTCCCTACTCATCAGCACTTTCTCTCTCAAATAAAAATCAAAAAAATAGAAAAAAAAACTTACAGCTCTTTATTAGGTGAAAACTGAATTTTATTCGTTTTAAAAACTGAAATCCTACTGAACAAAGCATGTGGACCTTAAGGACTGTCTTGGGTTAGGGACCTCTAAAAAGGCTTCATTAACCTGTGAGTGGAAGAGACAAGCGTGTCTTTGTGGAATGGGGACGTGCATGAGAGGTGTGTAGAAAGACGTTTACTGCAGCAAAAACAATATAAACGTCCACCTGTAAGGAAATGGATGAGTAAACAGAGAATGGAAAAAGGCCCTGGAACATGAAAATGAATGGACTAGATTCATATCTAAGAGCATGGAACAAGTAATAAAATAATGTTAAGGGGAAAAAAAATGTAAGTTGCATACTTACATTTATCTTACAGTAAGATACATACTGTATTATGCTATGCATGTTTTTTAAAAACCCAAACACATAAACACATTACAAAAGGTTGGAGGAAGGCTCACTTAATTTTTCATAGTGCTTGCCTCACAGGAGGTAGGAAACAAGAACAGGAATGAGAATTAAGTGAAATTCAGATTTCTGGATAATTTATTACTTTTTGAAAACAGCTCGAAACAGCCTAACAGTATTTGATGGGCATTTCTTGTGATGTGCATGGACATTTGTGATATTGTGTTGGTCCCTTTCGTGGTAATGTATGCGTTTTCTTTAAAAGTGGAAACAAGTGGAATTAACATCATCGGTTAGTGTTCATTTGATCAATCCGTGTGTGCAGTGGATAGAGACTTTTATTGTTTCCCTTTGCAGGTAAATGTCACTCGGGAAGACTCACCAAGTGAAGACCCGGTCTTCCTTAGAACTTTAGGGAAAGGAGACTGGTTTGGAGAGAAGGCCTTGCAAGGGTGAGTGGATCACATCGGACACGGTTTTGGTTTGCGCATGACATAAATTCCTGTCTTAAATATTGAGCTTCTAGCAAAAGAGGCCCTTTAATTAGTGTTTATCCTAATACCAGACACAGAGGCTTAATAATCGTTTTTATTTATTTCCATGTGGACTTGTAATGCATTTACATAGGCTTTAAGATAAATGGATTAGCTTCTGTAGTATAACGTTTTTACAGTAATGGAAAAATTTCCTAGCTTTGTGCTCAGTAACCACAATCTCTATAAAGACTCTAAAAGGGAGGGAAAAGTCTCTGCTAAGCTTACTTTGTGCGGTAGTTTTGCTCAGAATCCTAGGAAGGTGATTGGTTGAGAATTTGGAAATCCCTGAACCGACTGTACAAACCAAGGATCAGAAGGCAGTGGAGACTGGCTGGGATTCACGTCTGGGTAGTGGTTGTCCTCCCGGTGGTGGAGATAATGCACATGAACATTAACCATGGATGGACCCAGAGACGTATATTGCAAGGTCCCGGAAATTCTACTTGTAAAGCCTCGAGAAGCAAGCACTTGGGATTTCTTCCCACCTACTATGGAAGAAAAACCCAGTTGATTTTGGGCTACACATTTTACAGAATGCATGACAAATTTGGCAGATATATTTGGGTATTCTCTTCTTGTTTTCCAATAAACAACACATCTGAATTATCAGTATATATAGATGAGACTTTTCAAAACTCAGTGCAGGGTATGTGTGTGTGTACACACACATACATACTTGAATCAGAAATAACCAATAAACTTTTATTTTGGTATCAAATTCCAGGTGCAGGAGCGTCTGCTAGAGAGGAACCGCAATAGGCTATAATTCGTTCCGAAAATATTTGGAACACTGAGTTTTGCTTCCATTTCAAATTATGCCTTCTTTTAAAAATTACATTAGAAGCATTTTGTTTAAGATTGCTATGAAGAAATAACTCAGGGAGTTTTAATTTTTAAGCCACAATCACAGAGCAACTTTTCTTTTTCTGTTCCCACCCTTTCACAGCTATAGACATGAAACGGATCTGATAAGTCCTCCTAAGTACACCACATTAGCTAATGAAGATTCAGAACCAAATAGAACTAAATGCATTTGACTTTCTTTTTTTCTTTTCTTGTATGCGGTTCATTTGATCCTTATCTGATGAGCATGTACTTTCCGTTTGCTTTTTTCCAACAGCAAAGTCGGAAGAAATACCATATTCACTATACACGCACAAAAGAATGCGATAGGCACTAGCTTTTCAGTATAACGGGCAGAGACAGCATTGGTACTTGAATGTTTCTTTCCCTTGATTATCTGTAGAGGATGCTAGAGAATAATGCCACCTGATTCCTTTGGTCCAAGATTAAATGCCTGTGTGAAAAACGTCATTTCCAAAAGAGTCAAAGAAACAGAAACATTTTCAATCGTCTCTGATTGAGATCACAAGTGGAACACCAGACAATAAAACATAACTGGAAATTGACAGATTTCCTCTTGTTAGCTTATTGCCACTGAATTTTGGTGCCAATTAAAGAAAGCTTCGGTGGTGGTAACCCCTTCCTAGAATGTGTCTTAAGAAGTGACCCTGAAAAAAAAAAAAAAAAGAAGTGACCCTGAAGATACAGTTGATGGAAAAGTTACCAAATTTTCTCTGAGGTCAACATTTAATGGTATTCCTTCTAGACTGAATTCATTCTAGCATATGGCTATTCTCGTGAACTTTTTGGTGCCAAATTCTCTTTTGTCCGTATTCAGTCCTCCGTACACTGTCTCCTCACCCCCGCTGTCGCCCTACACCCCCTCTCTCCCCCAGCAGTTTCTTTCTTTCTTGTGCCCTTTGCTCTTACTTTCTCGCTACTCAGCCCGACTTTCTCAGCCTCCTCTAAGTGCCCTCTTACATGTCACCAGGGGTTTGCTACTTGCATCAGAGTATGCTCTTTCTTTTCTGTCTGGTCTTTTCTGTCGCTTCTCAGCCATAGTTTTACTCTGCGGACCACCCCTTCCTTTTTCAAACCTTCCTTTGGACCCTTGTCACTGTTAGCACTTCTTAGAATTTCTCATGTGATTTCCATTCATCAATGTTTTGTTCTCACTTCTCTTTATTACATACATCTTATGGCTGCGTGTTGCCTTGATGAGAAGAAGTCCATATACTTACATTCTGATTTGGGCTCAGTATCTGGTACTTTTCAGATACTCAACATGCATTTACTGAATGAATGAATGAATGAATGAATGAATGAATGAATGAACGAACAAACAAATGAGTCTCTCTCTAATGATGCCTAATCAGGTCATCGCTTCTTGGGATTGGTCACTTTCTCTGCTTGGATCTGTTTGGCAATGGGGAAAGGGTTATGAACTCACTTGTCTACAAGGGTTGCAGGCTGGTAATGTAAATGAGTAAAGTGAGGTGGGTAAGTAGAAGCCCTTACGTCAAGAGTACAGCAATTACTGAACACTAGCTCATTGCTACAGTTTTTTAAGCAGAAAAAAACTTAGGTTTTGGGAAAACAAATATGAAATGTGATTTTGTAACTTGATTAAAAAAAAAAAGCTCTGCAAGCAAAAAACAAAGCAAAACAACAACAACAACAAAACACTTCTGCAAACGATTTGACCTGTGAGCTGCCATTTTGTGATTTCTATCTACCTAAATTCAGTAAAGGAAGCCTATTAGGTTAACCCGTCTTATTTCCTTATTTTTTTTTAATGTTTTGATGTCCCATAGGTGTAACCTGTTTTTCACCCTGAGTATCTATGTTCCTTTTTGATCTTTTCTTTGAGTTTCATTGTTGCACACAAGAAACTCTAACCGTTCACAAATCAGATTGATTTGTTTTACTTGTTTCCCTCTAAAAACTGTAAAATTTTATGTTACTTTGAGATAGAAAATCTTCTGGGTACTATGTATCCTTTTGAGTAATAGCTATGCTTCTTGGCAAATCATATCATTTTTATATTTGGAAGAAAGATTACATAGTCAGCAATCTCTGTGTGTCCATAACAGCTTTTCAGATCATTGTTTTCACTCATGTAAAATTTATACATACTGGGAATTGTTGCTTTATTTTTTCAAGGATGTCCAGCAGACCATTAAAATACTGGTAATTTTGGGGCGCCTGGGTGGCGCAGTCGGTTAAGCGTCCGACTTCAGCCAGGTCACGATCTCGCGGTCTGTGAGTTCAAGCCCCGCGTCAGGCTCTGGGCTGATGGCTCAGAGCCTGGACCCTGTTTCTGATTCTGTGTCTCCCTCTCTCTCTGCCCCTCCCCCATTCATGCTCTGTCTCTCTCTGTCCCAAAAAATAAATAAACGTTAAAAAAAAAAAATTTAAAAAAAAATAAATAAATAAAATAAAATACTGGTAATTTTGACATGAATTTTTGACCATTATTTTTAAATTTTAGTGTGCCTGATATGAGTACTGGGTAAGCCCATGGTAGATAATTGAATGACAAAGCTGCGATGTGACCTTGGCCCCCTGACTCCAGAACTTGGCTTTCGAGTTCTGCCTCTAGAAATAACAAGCTCCATTTCCTTGTTCTCTGGAGACAGTCGAGTCATAGATATGATACAATCTATATCATCAACATCCATTAACCCCATTAACCAATAGCATCTCATTACCGGAAGTATTGAAGTCATGGATTGCTTTCACTTTTGTTGGTTGACGTGAAGCAAATTACTCTGTATTCTTTGGCTCACTCACTATTTTTTTTTTTTTTTTTTTTGGCCATGATAATAGTTTTTCCACACCAGAGAGAGGGCAAAATGTTGTACTCTTGACAGAAGTGCTCTTTCCTTATGTACACGAAAACTACACTTGTGTTTAAGTTAAGTTACTGCAGGTGTAGTCCAGTAACTCATGAGTCAGTCCATCCCACTCTGACTCACTGTGGCTTCAAGCTCTACACCTGACTCGAAACCACGCAGAATCCACACGGGCATCAGATGGTGTCATATTCTAAGCCACACCCGCACTTTGCATCAGAGGTAATAGGAAAAAAACCTAAGACTCAGTGGAACCCGACAGATGGGGCTGAGCTCCCCCTGACCCCTGCCCCCTGACGTTTGAGTCTTCAGCGTGGCATGTGGGTAAGAGTTCAAGCTCAGAAATCAGTCGACATGGGTTAGGGTCCACTTGTCACTGACAGATCATGAGACCCTCAGAGGTTCTCCTGTAATCAGAAATGGAGGTGGTGATTATACCTGACTCTTTTTTTGGTCGTTGAGAGGAATAATCAAGGGGATTGTTATAAAGCATTTGAATGAGTGCCTAGAATTTAAATTACGCTCAAAGAAAGTTAGCTGCTGTCATCAGTGCTGCCACCATCCTGTTTCCACTGTCATTAGCAATAGCCTCCGCGCGGTGATCCCTGTCCCCGTTGTCATTCCAAGAAGGCTCTGTTACTTCTTGGCCAGAGTTTAGAATGCTTGGTATAATTGGCATAGCATTACATGTGGGGTCAACCACTCACCGATTATATAACTCTGAGCAAGCCAGTTAACCTCTCTGGGTCTCTGGTTCTGAATTTGTAAACTGAGACCATTGAACTAGATGATCTCTAGCTTTCCTTAGGTCACAGGCTCCGCTTCCCTTGGGATTTTGCCTCTTTACAGCTGGAACAGACCACTGGATGCCAAATGCAGCCCTGTGCCACCCTGTTAAATGGTGGCATTTAATAACAGGCCACTGCCAGAGGGCCCTTCCCTCCAGGAACCCTCCTAGCTATTTCCAGTCTTCTGAACACCATTGCCACGTGCTAGGTCTGTCCTTGTTGATGGAAAAAAGAAGCAGCCATTTCTGTATTTCCCCAGATTCTTCCCTCAAGGACCATGATCTTGGGAAGGTGAATTAACATTTCTGAACCTGTCTTCCCCCCTCTCTCTTTTGTTAATTAATAAAATGATAGCCCATCAAAGGATAGAATACTGGATAGTGCACTTCAATACTTTGCCATATTTGAATCTGATAAATTATTCATGTGT